GGAACACTTAAGCAGCTCTCTTTAAGTGATGAACTCTTCGTTTGTTTGTCAAGCAAACTAATTGGGTCTTACCGCTTGGTTTTTATCTGAGGGAATTCGCGCGCATAGATCAGGGTCGTCGAGAATCGAACCGGTCAAGCGATGTTTCCAAGTGTGGGCAGCTTGGTTGCAGCTGCCTGGTTGTTTGTTTGCTGTTCCAATTTGGCGGTTGGACTGCAGCCCAATATGTCTGACCAGGCATATGGCCTTTCTGCAGTTGTGTTTGACAGATGAAACGCTTTCGAAGTAGTCTTTGCTCGTCTTTGTTCTGATTTGTTCATCACTCATGTTTGTTTGATAAGGCCACCCACCATACACGCAAAGCGTACTTGTCGAGAATCTTCGTTACCCTTGTCTGCCACAGTGATGAACTATGCAGTGAAGGAAAGTAAGGCGAACGATATTAACAGTAAAAGTTCTCACTTTTCAAATTAGTGATTGACAGTTCTTGAGATAGACAGTGGTAAAAGCCAGCGTAAAATCTAGATCAAACGAATAGAAATGGTGCCTGATCGAAAAAAACATAGTAACGTGGTATGGCTTTAAAAAGGTCAAAAATAAGAGACAAGTTATTTCGATGCCAATACGATAAGCATATGTTGGGTGAAGTCCCACGCTAAAACCGCCTTAATGCTAGCAATTAGGCGCTACAACGCCCAATAAGCTAAACTCGCACGTGATTGTGGAGAGGATCGGGCGGCTTGCTGGTCCAGCCTCAAGCCGATCCTTGATTGGTTGGAATTGTGAGCCCAACAACCAGTCATCTTCCAGTATCTACCGAATGCAGATTGCCAATGTCGTATCCAGAAGGCTCCTGTTTCCCGAATATCTTTATGTCCACCTTAACCATGAGACTGTACATTGGTTATCGGTTTGTTTTGAACGTCTACTACGCTCTGTATCCTTGGTGGTTTTACTACAAGCGTTAGTCTGAGAGGCTCAAACCGAGGACTGATCTGAGGATTTGCCGTTATTACAGAAGACCACGTTTTTAAGTAGCATCCTTCAGTCCTGTGGAACCAGATATATCCAGTTACCGGATATTAGGTGAAGTCGGCTCCAGTCGTTAACATGCACTTTAGAATGCACCAGGAACTTAACGAATCACTATGCTACCTCGCCCCGTTCCTGTGTTAGCTCCTCCCATCTAAGCGACAACCCACAACATCAATTTGTAGGTAGTTTCTCATTTTTGCGTTTTGACTGTAGCGTTCCGTATTTACAAGAAGACTCTGTTTAAGAGACATCTTCAAGGCAATAAATATGCTATCCAATTTTTGGACGGAAAGTATCTCATAGCTGTAGCACATCAACGAACCATAAACAGAACAGCCATTGTTTGAGTAGTTTGCAACTTCAACTGTGACCTTAATCTTATTTTTCTCGCCCTATAAGTCGGAACAAACGAGTTGTAAGCGTTCAAACGTTCTATATCACTTGTCCAACCGGTGGCAGTAGGTTTTGCAGGAATCTAAAGATTACTCATCCTAGTTGAGCAAGATGGAGCAATAGCGGAGTTGCTAAAGTATTGGGTTATATCCACTGTTAGATGTGGCACAATGTTTAAAGCAAAACAGTCGTCGATGAAATCTAGTTTCGTTCCGCTCGTTTTTTTGCAATAGAACTCCTGCATCCGGCAGGCTGAACGCGGATGTTGACGCGCTTCAATACTCATTTTCTGCAAGTCTGTGGACTTTTTGATAACTCGGCAGTTCATCTACTGGCCCCTTGATACGTTTACAGTTCCATGTTGCTTACCATTTACTAATAGGTTTGCGCAAAACCGTTGTCGACCATTTACATATCCCCAAGATGTTTCAACCAGCTAGAGTTCCTCCTCGCAATAGCTTTGCAGTCAGAAGACGCCGTTTGTCCATAATATAGATCGCATGGCATATCTCAGTTACCCCTGAAATGATTCTATGTGGTACTCACGGGGCGAAACCCGTTGTCTCGCGTTCTGTTGAGCAACCGTCGTCAAACATCTCATGCTCTTAAAAGTTACTATCAGGAAGGTCAGCTTCCTGAAAGCAACCACTGAATGCCCGAACTCTACCGAGACCCTCAGCTCCGCTAGATGTTGACCAGACAGACAACGCCCCCTCAATATGCAGCGCGTCACAGCCTTGCATCAAACCTAGACAGCGCGAGTCAGCGTTGATCAAGGTCAGACAACGCCCCTGCAATATGCAGCACGTCGTAGCCAGACCGTGTGCGTCAGCATTGGATCAAGTTCAGACTGTCTTTCCAATAAAAAGCTTGAGGCCGTTGTACTTTTCGCACTCGCACGCACTCGCGCTCTCGCAACCACTTTGTTGGAATATAGCTATTGTGTTCCCTTCCGTGAGCCTTTTTCTCTCCGAAACTAGGCACTGGAGCGGGTCAGCAGCAGATACCACAGGCCGGCGAATCAGCAGATTTAACAGTTACATCTTGGCGACTCCCCAGCTCCCGCCTCATGGAAAGTTCTCAAACGAGCAATATCACGGAGAAAGCAACTTTCGATACTCTGAAGTTTCTTTATAGGCAACAAGGGGAAATGTCCCATCATTGCTGGTATAATTTTTTCACCTACTTCTCTGGTGTATCGACTGGACACTAGCGGCTGAACACATTCGGATCAGATCCCCCTATTCGAATGAGTTTATCTAACTGGGAATCTATCAATATGTTGTTCTATTCTATTTTTCCATTCTGTTTTTCTACGGGAGAAGGGAGTGAGGTTGCTCAAGTGGATATTCATCACTCTAATGGATATCGACCGTATCGGTGTCCGACTCGCTTAGTTGTAGTACATCAGGATATAAATGCACGGAAGAAATTAGTCCTTAGTTTGTGGGGAAATTGTTACAATAAGCTGCTGGATAGACCCAAAGCTTGTCGTGCATATTTCAACAAATGTGAGACGCAAATCGCATGTGTTTGTCAAGGAATCGCTGGTATTTGTTTGAAGTGTTTTGAGAGGTTGTTTAGGCTTCTACCCATGCCACTTTGTCAGTCTTCAGAAAAAGAACCACTTTGCTACCTGAATAAAGTTGTTATTTCCTATGAACAACACCACTGAAGGCGTGTGATATTACACCATCTTTTGGAAAAATTCTATGCATCTTTTGCGGTTAGCTCGGATGCTACGAATTCGGTTCTTGATTACGCATTCTATCCGGAGAGAAGAACTCCACAATAGACATAAGAGTTATCGGACAGATGTTGGATACACGTCTCTTTTTCGCCATTTTATATCGTTTCTATCGGTCTCTCTTAGTGGTTGTTTCTCCTCTGGTGCTCGTTTACGCGTTCTTCTATCTTCACATTGCTTAGCAATTACAAGTGCCACCAGCAGGCTGGTAAAGGCTTGTAATTAATAGCGGAAAGTTCCTTTGATATTGACTAACTACATTGCACATTCTTATCTACGATGGACACATTTATGGTCGCTTTCCTCACCTTGTTTTCAAAAGCAGCAACTAAACTTCAGTACCATTCGAACGCGTAACTGAAGTACTGAATATTTTGCTTCCGTGGATGACTGCGATAATATAACGGCAATTATAAAGATGTTCTCCTCAGTGAATGGGTTTGAAGATCACCACTATGGTCCGTATTACACATTGTGGCAGCAGCATTCACTTCTATTTTTATCGCGCTAACCAACCTATTTCTTCTGCATTCCCGTCCCTTACGATCAATATTTCAAAGATAGATGCATTCATTCCACGGGGTTTTTCTATGAAGAAAGGACACTATTATTTCCACTTTCCCTAACAAGACAGAGCGATTGATACGAACTTTTGCATCCTAATCTGTGATTTTAGCGAACCCTGTTGTTGGCCAATTGCACTGTTGGTAGTCTGTTTTTGTTGTAAACTCATTCGTTCTAACGTCACCCACGTAATCGGCATCCAGCATGCCATACCATACCTGATAGACATCACATCACAGTCCAAGCCGCTTACCGACTGTCTGAGATGACCTCTTCATACGAAGTGAATCGGTCAGTTGTAACACCCTTTCGGTGCCTAGCTGCCATGCCACCCGAAGGAAGCACGAGGGTTGAGGTATTGCCAGGTTGCTGAAGCTTGGACATCGGAAGTCGAGATGCAGAAGTCGGGTTCGAACCACGGATCTTCTGGTCAGTAAATTCCCGCCCCTGTTCATACAGAGGGACGTGGACAACGATTTTTAGACCAGGCGCATGTTTTGCTGCCGTAACAGTTCGGAAAGCGCAGCGTTCCAAACCCGTCTAGTTGTCTTATCCCTTTCTGCATGTGGACTGGAGTCCTCCGTTCGACTTTTATTATTCAGGCCCATTTCATTGCTGACGCCTGTTCGTCTTTTTGTTGGGCCGTGAATGTCGCATGCTTCAAACGTTAGATACGATCGCTCCATACTCAGCATGGTAAGAGCCTTAACCTACAAAATTGTGACCTCCATCCATCTCCGCTTCAGGGGAACTCCACCGTCTCTCACGGTTATTTGAGAACCATAGTTCTGCGATAGTTTTAGAACCCCGAATGTCATTGTATGGGTCATCAAAAACACTCGTAACTTCATTTCTGAGCGCCTTGGCTTGTCGTCCCTTTTCGGATAACTACGTCAAGATTATTCAAAGTCCGGTACACTAGAGGTTGTCGGGCTGATCCGCGCATACCGATTAAACGATCCCGTTGTGTGGTTGCCAAGTTTAGGAAGACAATTGCTTACGTGCTATCTAGCTCCTTTCCACAATAAGAAGATTCACCTAGTTGTTTAGGGACATTTGAGTCTGCGCAACCAGCCCTATAACTCGAGAGCAGTTTGAATCCCTCTGAAGAAGAAATTTATGTGGTATGGTATGCACCATGGTATTCTCATACGCTTCTTTAAAGGTATATGTGCTCACTCCGTGCCCGATTCCACTCTCCCACTCCAATATGCGCTTAATCTGACCGTGTGTCACTCTGGTTCTTCATATGCACCTGTAGGAACTCGTCCAGACGTGTCGTTCGATGCATCGGCGCGTTATTGAATTCCTAAGCCAAGTCTCCGACGACGAAGTAACTCCATCCCTACTCCAAGTCAGTGATAATTTGAACAGTGCGTTCCTACGGTAAGTTTATGAATTTTTTGGCCGTTATTCAGTTTGCTGCTCGAAAAAGCTGAACCGGATACCCGGATGAGTTGAAACCAGAGACGGTCCAATGGTCGGTTGATGACATGACAATACTTGGCAGGTCAATACTAGTGATATCTCTATTCCGAAGGACAACAATTTGTGACCATGCCTCTTAACTTAATTCGGCCTCAATTGGTGGCACAAGTTCTTCAATTATTCATGTGGCTGTCCTCCGTTAATCCACAGAAACCCAGACCCGTTGAAGGTTTCATAGTTTTACTTTGTCCTTTGTGAGCGTTGCCAGTTATTCTTCCGTCATTTGTAATTCAACCTTTGAGGAGATTTTTTCCTATTGTGGGCTGGCTACCAGTTAGGAGATTGGATTGTATTTAGGCTCATGATTCTTTGTTTAATGACATTTCGCTTGTCCCTCACGACTTTTTGCCTACTCAGCAATGTGCATGGTCAGCTTTGAACCTATATAACGGGTCATTGGCGCATCGGCTGGCATTTTGCGAATAATCCCCGTCGAGTTCCATTGGAATGGTTCCTAATTCAGTCCCTAGAGTTTATAGTTGAACCACACTGATTATTACCCATGAGTCTGTGTATCTTTCTTTTGGTCACTTTTCCGGGAGATTGTTGCTTAGTTCTAGTTTATGCATTTGTGCAGCAATTTTTATACACATATAGTCGACTGCCTGTATCGTCCCCAAACAGTACTGAATTTTCTACTCACGACAACTGTTCTGTCCTAAACTTTGACAGCTGTGTGTGGTACAAGATCAGATCGTGAACTTTGGAGAATGCCATGTTAATGGTCTCCAGTATCAACAGGTTTGAGTGTTGCTGCTTCCCTCTGGCATTACCATAGTAGTTTGCTTGAGAAAACCAACACGATCGACCCAGTGAGCTGTGAACCTTCAATCAATGCTAAGATTCTAACAGTTCGTTTTTGTAGGTATGGAAGTGATACTCCCTTCTATCCAAGAAGAATGCAATAGTATGTCTAGTATGCTCTGAACTCACGCACATAGGTTTTGCACAGATCCCCAGGCTTTTTCATTGCGATATTTGTAATTATTCTGCCTTTTTGCAATAGGTATGATCGTTTTGAACGATATCGTCAACGCGCTATACAACTACGCGCGGGCGGTATGAGGTCTTCATCTTTAGCCGCACTACCTGCAGCACATACCAGACGTCAGCAACCCGCCGCTATCACTGGAGGACAACTGCTCGCAATTGCCGACAGTGACCCGTGTGCTTCCACCCCCAACGGACTTCAGCTATCCATTCCTGCGGTTAACGGACAAGTCAGACGTAACAACATTAATGACGATGATGATGATCTCCTAATTGATGTCAGCGAAGGACTAGGCGGAGTAAGTTTGGAAGATTGTATGAATTCGACTGCGCACTCACCAACCTATGAAGGTATCAGAGGCGTGTTCAATAATTGTCATCGTGTGGCTAACTACAGAACGCCATGCGGATGTAATTTGGGTTCGACTTTTTAGTGATGCATAACCACAGTTTATCTGAGGCGGACACTATTAGGCTCAACAGATGGGTTGCACCCAGCCTTTAATGCCTTCCGGAATGTTAGGCCTACATTGGTGCTGGAAGTTACCTTACTATGGGTGACGTGGTGAGCCACCAAACCAACTACTGCCTACACCTTGGGTCTCAGCTGTCCAGTTGTTCCAACTTACCTTGTGGGTCGCCACCCCTATGTCCGTCCGCCAGTCTTTTTCCTTCGAGTTTACGCCACGTACAGTGTCTTTAGTTTGTGGGACATGCTGCTCACTACAAGCCGCAAATGGCATTGCCCGTGATGCACATGAGTCTATCAGCTTCGTTCGGTGTGACAGGTAAATCCGGAAACAGATAGCACTACACTATGTTCCCTTTTAGTACATCATATTGATAATCACATCATTCTAGGACATTTTTGCGCACACTTTTCATCTTGAGTTATGATTTGAATGTCCACTTCATTTGGACGACCTCATTGAGTTTTTAACTTCGGAACCTATTGATACGGTTTGTTTGTCGGACGTGTATTCAGGCGCGAAATACCATTTCGATTCATCATCTTTAAGCTTGAATTTCAGTCTTCTTTCATTGGGTTAGTATTGTATTAGAGCTTGATATCTTTGGACAAGAACTTTCTATCCGCTCTACTGTACTTTTCGCTTCCAGATATCGGATTCGTGCAAAATCAGACGATTATGCAACTTTCATATCCAGTAGCACCTTTCTCACTCTAACCCGTTTATTCTTTTTCTCTTCTGTAACAGGCTGAGACAACACAACCGGTCATCGATTGTGACGAGGTGGCCCAATGGCTTGCCGTCCGACAGTTGGTTCCAGTTTCTGGTGAAAGCGGTGAATCTAGTCGATCAGGCCCAGCGATGCTTGCTCTACAACAGGGCATCCATGCCATGTCCTTGTCACCAACTACGCGGACGATACAGGCCAGTGTTTTCCTCGCACTCTTCCTTGAATATTCCCTCAATCCAATCTTAGTTGTTGATCATTTATGGCTTAGGTTGTTTTAAGCGTCAATTTATATACCAGTCACTGGTTTTGTTACTTGTCCACACATCGATCAAGCGTCTTGTTATTGACCCTTATAGCTTCTGTTGAATGTAGAACTGCCAATTTCGTTGAATTCAGCTTCTGTCGGCAAAAAATCACGTGTTCAATAGCTTTTGTCCGCCCGATCCGCCTCAATGAAGGTAAAGAGCTCATTTAACTGAACTCTTCGGGCAGGTGAGACGTCGCTAACTAATTGGTTTGCGGTTACCTGTGTGTACTGTTGTGTTGGATACTCTTCCCCAGGCGTACACCATGCGTCTGGTCTCGATGAGCTGTTTAACAATCTTTTAACTAGACCACCATTCCATGTTCCACGTCTGGTTCATCGGCTGAACAAGTGCTCAACATGGTTGGGGTCCACCTGACGAGTCCCAGTGTAAGCGGAAGATATCCTGTTTTCGAAATTCTCTGGACCGTTTCACACATGTTTATCACAAGCACCTGCAGGGATTTAGGGATATCGGAAAGCTTTCACTCTAGTTCAGACACCTCTATCGGATATGAAGAGAATAGAGTACCTATTAAATCACTGTAATTTTATGTTCTAACTAGACCTTTTATGTCGGACTGATGTGAAACGCCACTGCGCAACTAGAATGCAGTGTGTTTGCTCTACTAACGACTTAGTTCATGTGGTAGACGAATTCTGCAGTTAATTTGTGACGATTTTCGTGTGATTTAGTGAATCCGCTTCATGTATAACCTCTACGATCCGTCCGGACAGCTGTCCGTGATAACTGGGGTTCATGCCTAGTGAGACTCAGTTTTTGCTGCTCATTGGTTGACTCGTAGGTTAGTTTGACTGCTACCACTGAGGTCGCGGGTTCGATACAGTTTACTACGTGCAGCTGATGAGCACTGCTCAGGAGGAATCATATTTTCCAGTACCAGCTTAAAGCAGGTTCCAACCAACTCCGCGCCGTGAAATGTCTTTTAACAGTTTTGATATCTGTAACTGACTGCATCAGTAAAGGCAGGATTCGCTTTCAGTCCACTCGTCTTTTGGTGTTGGAGCTTGTACAGCTACACACTACCTTCTGTTCAGAAATATAACAGTTTTGACTTGAAGCAATCAAACCAGTATTCTTATGCTCCAAATGGGAAGCTAGCCCAACCTTTCGTACGACATCATCCGATTAGTTCTTACTGCGTCTCGTACATACAGGTTATGTTGTGCGGAACAATCTAAGCTAGATCATTTGGCTTATTCCTCGATAGTTGAGTATGCCATCTCCAGTATATGAGTCCGTTCACGAAGGAAGGTGTTATCTCATCATAAACGAGAGATTCAATTGAGTCTCCCGTGAAAACCAAATTGATTTGCAAATGAGTGTATTTCCCGAAAACAGTGCAATTTGGGTTCAAGTAGACCATAAGGTTGACGAAAACTCGGGGAATGCACCTACCTGATGAGCCCGAAGCGGAAGGGCGAAACCGGTCGTGGGCTGTCGAAGAGTTTTCAGCAACCTTGTGAGTAGTTTCCTTTGTGAAGGTGTTATCTCCTTGGATGAAGACCCTGAAACATAACTTCCACAAGTGTGACACAATCACTTCTCTACTTTCTTTCTGCACCTCTGTCATTCATTGCGCAGTCGTTCCCTCATAGTCCCCTAAACTTTGGTGAATAAAGTCAGTAACTCGGTAGCTGTGTGATTTGGACGGATCTGTAGTCGAACGAAACTGAGAATTTGACACCAGGACAGTTGTGGCTGTCAATCTCAATCGTGCATTTGGAACCACTCAATTAAGTTTGATGCTGCTGTATAGTGTGAAACGTTGCCTGTTACTGCTTGGGACAAGGTGCTCAAACTTTTCCCTTCATTCAAACGTTCCTGTCTCTGTACCTGTGAGAGAGCAGAAACTATGACAGGTAAAGTAGGTTCTGATTGGCTTAGCTGCGAGTGCGTGGTTCTTCGTGAATAGGATTCGCTTCCACACCGTCATGTCACATGCTTCGCTGAGTTGCACACTTATTCGGTCCCTTGGGGACTGCAATTGAGGGAATATTATTCTTACAATACGAAGACTAAATTTGATTGGAAGTTCTTTCGTGAATTGAATTATCTGTGGCCACTGATGGACGTCCCATCGGGATGATCGTTGTGGTTGTAGAAGGACCTCAAGTCGGATTACTACCTCTAACCCCAGAAATGCAAATGAGTTTTCTACTTTAATGAAGATTTTCTGTTCAAGCTCAGATTCATTCCATTTCATCATTTATCCAGCCAACTAGTAGTTATCACCTTTCACCTCAGATTTCAAATCGTTTTCAATGTTATGTTTTACTATTCATTTATCTACACAGTTAGCCCCTCGGCAAAGCGACTAGCGTAATAGTTATCGGTAGACATGTTTTCACTTGACTTCGCTTATAGACGCATGTGCGTTTTGTCCCATCGACGGTTCTCAGCTAAGCTGCTTCTTTTATTGCTCCATTCCCTTCCACAACCAGACTTCTCCTTCAACTGCTAGAACTCTGCCCCAACCAGTTCCAAGTACGTTTTACCATGAAGCTGTTGGCATTTGTTTTTGAAGCCAATTTAAGTCGGGATTGTGGATTCAAGGGTTTGTCTCTGTAGTGATGTCTTCCGAATGCCAAGACATCCATTTTTTGTGCGTCATCTGATTATCGGTTAATAAACATGTAGGACACAAGCGAATTCGCCTACGTTTATCCACTTCTGATCTGAATCAGCTATTCACGTTTGTTTTGCCATCCACATCTTTCGGTTTCGACTTAAATCACATTTGACCATACGTCAACTCATTTAGCGGAAGAAGTACATATCTTGCTTCCACAGCTCATTGTCCCAATTCTCCGCGTGGAATGCCACCAGGTTTTGTCCCCCTTTTTGATTGGGAGATCCACAGATCCGCAATCATCAGCAGGTATTTTCCTCTCCCCTGTTGTACAAAACCGATGACTGATACTCTCAGATGGGATGGTCCTGACAAAAAGACCAGATGCATCATCCTGAACTTTCAGTCTGATGTCTTTTGTCATGGTCGTTGTACGTTCTTTATGCTGGGGTTCATCAGTATGCCACCTAGTGTCTCCCTAGTCTCATCATCCTCTTAGTGGCAATTTCTTCAGAGGATATTTTTTCACTCCCCTTCAATCGGTTTATCAACCGAAACACACTGGTTGTGCATCGAACCCAATTCCTTTTGTGTACACGGACAATACACTGAAGAATTCAATCCACTGGACTTCGACGTCTGAGGACAATAATTCTGTCGGACAGCCCCAATCACTTACGATTTTGTGAAATCGAACGTATTTTTATGTATTGGCGCAAATCAGCCACGCATTAATTTTACGGAATAACTGTCGTGTTTAGTGAAGTGTGCCCGGTAATGTTAGTCGTGTTGTGTGTTGATCGTGCTGCGTCTGATTGCTCTTGTCCTAATGTTCGATCATGTTCACTTGTATGAGTGTTCGCTGCAGCCGTGGACAGCTACTGTTAATTCCCCCCCCCCACACACACACCAACAGAAACGTCCATAACATCTCAGCTCTAAGCATCAGAATTCTAGTACAGCAGGTGTTTTTTGGTTGTGTTTCTGCAGTTCGAAACTAACATTGGTGATGCCTGTGGCCTGGGGACGGTTGTCGAAGTTACGAGTCCTGCAAATTGGAATGAGGATTGTGTAGCCGAACATAGGACAAAGGACTTTTGCTATAGCTGCAGGTGCCTTACATGCGTAATAATTAGGCCGCTAACAAATCCCTGAAACGTACCGAGAATGGGTATTTTCAGTGCGCTTCATCACGGCACTTGTATCAATCGGCCTCCACGGTTTCCAGTACAGCGCATCTGTCTAATGGCGTTCTCTTTACTAACTCTCCCTTGCATACGACTACATGGTTGTGTATAGTGCTAGTAACCACTAGGCTGTTCTTTCATCTCTCAGCGGAAGTCCCACACGTTCTCAATACAGTAGTTCAATTTCGGAACTTTACTACCGATTGGAATTCATTGTCTGATGCAGATCTCAAAAATGGCTAGGCTGCGAAAGCCGACTCTTCACTTATGTCCGATCCACTCTTCTTGATCATATATTTGCTGCTCTTAATGGATTGATTTCCCTCTGCTTTTTCTTGACAGCTCATCCAACCAGTCAAGGTGCGCCCGATCAACCTCCGTGCCATTCCCGTCAAACCGCTCCGAACCATTCCTCTACTGACAACCTATTATTCTTCTAAGATCCTCTACTTAACGGAGCTTACGCTCTACCCACTCGTTACGCTCCGTATTTTGGCGTTTGTCAGTCATCTGCGAGATCTACCTTACTTCAACGTCTTTATTTGTCCCAGATCGTCTCAACTCCTGATACCTTGTTATTACATCAAGACGTTGGGTTCCTCGGTTCTGTTTACATCCTTTATCCTCTAGGGGTTCGTTAGTGCAATATTATCCGCATTTATTAACCGTACCGTGTGGGTGTACAGCATGTTACTACCTAGTATCTGTGCATTTCTTCCTCGGGACCATTGCGCCTATTATCTGCTGTTTAGCTTACCGTTTCTTTTGTTTGTTTTTCTGTTTTTTTTTTCGCTTGTCATATTCTCCTCATCTGTAGATTTTGTCGCGTGACCTCGTCATTTATGATTATCCAGCACATTTCAAAACCAGATCTAGTTTGTCCTCACGATTCCTACTTTTCTTCGACCATTCTGCTCATTGGATCCGGACAGTATCACTTCGGTGTATGCACTCATACTTTAGGCCCTGCAACCAATACATGGATTTTTCAAGAAGTAGCAATGTGCTAAGAAAATTGCATGGTTTATCGTCATTGTAGGTACCGCGTGCAAGTCAGAGTATGAAGTTCGTCGGTTGTTACGTCACCATGCATTTGTACTCAATCCCTATATACGTCCGTTACTACACGTTCAACTGCGTTCTGAAGCAGTTGAAAATGTTGGGTTCACTATCTGTCGTCACCTGCTCTCACA